TGAGTCTTCTGAGCCTCAGTTTTTGTTTTTGTTTTTTTACTGTAGTGCTGGGGATTGAACCAAGGGCCTCATGTATGCTGGGCAAGTGCTACACCTTCAGCCCTCTGAGTTTCTTTGCTTGAGAATAGGCATAAATAATGGAACATGGTGAGGATTAATGAGACAGGTATACAAAGCCTGTTCTTGTGTCTGACTCATAGACATTCAATTTCATGTTGGTCCCTGCTGTTAGTTTCTGTCCCATTACTATAGTCATTCTTGCCCTTTCCTCTCTCTTGCACTGTGGTTACTTCAAGGGCAACAATAATATCAGACTCCTCTTTGCACCCCTCTGACACCCAGCACAGTGCTCTGCCCATAGTAGCAAGAGCAAGGTGCTCCATACAGTTTTGAAGAGTGGACAGAGCACCTGGGTCCAGGAAGTTTGGAAGGTGAGCTCCATTCAGATTAGTAGCTGACCTGACCACCATTCCTGAGTCTGAGAGTCCATGTTAATTGCATATAAATTCCACAAATCTATTCCATTCATATACTACTTTTTTCAAGCTGGAAAGGACTTTCATCATCATCTCATCCAATACTCTCATTTCTCAGATGAGGAAACTGAGGCCCAGTGAGGAGCCCACAGCTCTTTCATGCACAAAAGATGGAAACAGTCATTGTCCAAATGCCTTTGAGAAGATTTAAGTAGTATTGCTTTAGTTACTGGTTTCTTCCCATAGTTCCTCTGGAGCCGGATTTCTCAACCTCAGCACCATTGACATTTGGAACTGATGCTTTTGTGGATTTTGTTGTTGCTGTTGTTATTTGCTTAATGGTACTGAGGTTTGAATTCAGAGCCTTGTGCTTGCCAAGCAAGCACTCTACCACTTGAGCCACGCCCCCCGCCCTTTTCACTGTAGATTATTTTGCAATAGGGTCTTACATTTACATAAGCCAAGGCCAGTCTGGATCTTGATCCTCCTATTTATGCTTTCCATGTAGCTGAGATGACAGGCATGTACCACCACACTCAGCTTTTATAGGTTGAGATGAGGGTCTCTGTAATGGAGAGCTTTTTGAACCGGTTGGCATGGAACTACAATCCTCCCAATCTCTAACTCTTAAGTAGCTAGGATTACAGGTATGAGCCACCCTGCTTGGCCTTAATTGTTTGTAGAAGGGCCATCCTGGGCACTCTAGGATGTTTAGCAGCATTCCTGGCCTCTCTTCACTTGATCCAGTAATATATCCCCTCCTCACTGGTCATGACTATCAAAAATGTCTCCAGACACTGCCAAGTATCTTGCAGAGAACCAGTGATCTTTACTGTAGGTAAAATCCCTTCTTAGGAAATACTGAGGACCTCAGGCTATCCCAACCAATTTGATTGTTTTAATGAATAGTTGGCTAGCTAATTTAATTTGTAGCCAGCAAGCTTTGGAGATAAGACAGAGCCACTCTGCGGTCAGTACTGGCCTCAATCACTACTACTGCCCACTCATTTGTTTATTTATTATATTGTGCTTACTTCCAGGAGTGGTGCTCGACCTCATTTCTTTTTCAGAACACCTGGCTCTCTCTGGATATTGCCCAGGTATCCAGCTATGAAGGGGGTGCCCTTACTTTCAGAGCCCTCTTCACACGCCTCTGATTGCTGGTTTGTCTTTGTCCTACTGGACTTGAGGGGCTTGGTCAGCACAGACAATGACCATTTTGTTGTACTCCCAGCTTCTAGTTGGCACATTCAAGTTTCTCAATACACACTTGTTGAATGAATATATAATGGAATGAATATATAATGGAACAGAATATAAATGTATTCTGTTTAATTGAGGGTCAAAAATATAGAATTTAGTTAAAGCTTACTTCCTTTACAATAATTATCACTTGGGTTTATTTAGAGCCTACAATGCAACCAGGAACTTTACATGTGTTATCTTTATTCATTTTTTTTTTGCAGTACTAGGACTTGAACTCAAGGCCTACACCTTTAGCCACTCCATCAATACTTTTTGTGTTAAGTATTTTCGAGATAGGGTCTCATGTACTATTTGCCCTGGCTGGCTTTGAATTGTGATCTTTCTGATCTCTGCCTCCTGAGTAGCTAGGATTATAGGCATGGAGCCACCGACACCTGGCTTACATGTGTTATCTTTATAATCACAAAGTAAACTTATGAGGCAGATAGTATCAGTCCCTTTTGAAAGATGGGGAAATTGAGGCTCAGAGAGAATTTGTGACTTAGGTGTTTTATACCATATGTAAGAAGTCCAGATTTCAACCTATATCCCAATAAATAACTGCCTCTCCTGTTTACAGTAATAAGCCTGAGTGTTGTCGCTTTTCATGTACTGAATGATCATTTCATAAATTTGGACCAGAAAAATGACTTCATTTTGTACAATTTAGATCAGTTAACCTTTGTCTCTGAGGTATCTGCAGTCATGGAAAAGATCTTGTCTATGAAAGCATTCATGCGGACAAGATTTCACTTGTGGCTGGAAGTCAGAGAAACTGTTTTAATCCTGATTTTTGGGGACTGGGTGCATATGTGTATTGGGAAAAGTACCAAGAAGAATAAAGTTCAAGACCAACCATTGCATAGAGGGAGAAGGGTAGCAACTTGGGAGGCTGAGATCAGGAAGATCGTGGTTCAAGGCCAGCCAGGAGAAATAGCACTCCAGACTTCATCTCCAAAAGTAACCAGACCAAAAATGGGCTGGAGGTGTAGCTCAAGTGGTAGAGCACCTACTTTGCAAGGGTGAAGTCCTGAATTCAAACCCCAGTCCTTCCAAGAACAAATTTAATCATTGCATGCATTCAATATCCTTTGTGAAATAGTTACGAAAATGTTTGGCCCATAGTTCTACTTTCTTGAAATGCATCTGAGTACCCCCAGTCCCTTGGTGTTTACCATTTGTTCCCTCAGGTTGTCATTTGTTTGTTTTACGGTACTGAAGTTTGAACTCGGGACTTACACCTTGAGTCACTCCACCATCCCTTTTTTGTGAAGGATTTTTTCAAGATAGGGTCTCACCAACTCTTTGCCCGGGCTGGCTTTGAACCGTGATCCTCCTGATCTCTGCTTCCTGAGTAGCTATGATTACAGAAGTGAGCCACCAGTGCCAAGCTCTCAGATTGTCATTTTTAAAAAAGTATATAGTATAAGAATTGTCAGCTATTCATTTTGTATCTACTCTTTCTTTTCAAATAAATTGCGTGGGGGCAGGAACTCTTGTTTTCCTTTGCCGTCTCTGCAAAGTGGTTTGTCGACGCTGACAGTGGTAACAAAGAGGAGATGGGAAAAGATGTGTTTTTTAGCCAAGAGATGAGTAAGTGTGCGCCCCACTCACTTGTTCTGGGGCACCCCAAGGAGGGCAAGAATAGGGCTTTTTCCTTAAGGAGGCTGCAGCCTGTTTTCCTCAGGTAGTGGCAAGCGATGGGTGTGGAACAACCTCTTTTCCTCCCATGTAAGACAGGGTGTGTTGAGTAGGCAAAAGGAGATGGACAGTGTCCCCGCCTCTCTTGCTCTAGCGCGGAAGGTCTGTGCACAGCCGCTAGGAGGCGCTCCAGGGGGCCATGCCAGCGTTCATACAAGGCCAAAGAACCCGCACCTGACACGGGAAGAACCCGGGCCTCAGCACGCCTTTCCTCTTCTGGCTTTTCTCAGATGGGGCCAGGAGAAACTGGAAGATCCAGACGGCAGGATCGGTCGGGATCGTTACCAGTTCCATCCTTGGAGAACACATACCCATCCTTTCCGATTTACCCTAGCAGATTCGGGACGGGAGAGACCGAGTAGCCAAGCAGAGGGGCGGGGTGCAGCAGCTTGCCAGGGGCGGAGCCCAATCGACTATCGAACCCCTCCAACCCGCGCCATTCGAACCCCGCCCCCGCCACGCAGGCCCCGCCTCCGGAACCCAGAGCCCGCCCCCTCCCGGGCCCCACTGGTGCGCTCGCTGCCCAGCTGGGGCAGGGGAGCCTCCAGGCGGAGAGGCTCCCGCGCCTAGAGTCGCGGCCTCCGCATGGAGGGGCCGCTCGCCCTGCCACCGGACTCGGGGCTGCTCCCGCCGCCGCTGCAGGGAGGCGGAGTCGCCGCTGTTCCGGAGCCCGGAGCCCGGCAACACCCGGGACACGAGACCGCGGCGCAGCGGTACAGCGCTCGCCTGCTGCAGGCCGGCTACGAGCCGGAGAGGTGACGCCCAGAGCAGAGCGCGCGGGGAGCATCCGGGGCGGGTGGCCTAGGAGGGAGCGGCGGCTCCGGGAAACCAGTGGCGCTGTGGGGGAGGGGAGGAACCGGCCCATACACCCTTCCCCCCACGGCCTCCATCCCTAACTTCCCGAGACGCGGTTGAGCAGCCATGCACCCGGTTTTGGCTGAAGGATGCAGGCGGGCACAGTGCAAAGGGTTCGGTGCTGCATTACACCAGAGAGCAGGGGAAAGGTAGCAGATTGTAAAAACGCTCCCTAAAATCCTAGCCTCGGATCGGACCTTGACTGCACACACGACGACACTCGATCCAAGTGGCTCCAACTCCTGGGTACAAACAGTGCTTGTTGGAGTCCTTCTGTCCAACTTTGCTTCCTCCTCAGAAGTTTCCTCCTAGAACTATCTTCAGTACTCTTGCTGGTAAGGTGTGGGTGTCCGCACAGAGCGCTTCCCCAAGACCAGGTGAAAACCTCGCCCCTCCTCACAGTACACTGACGTCTGATGAGGCTGCCAGTCCAGCTCACCGCCTCATTAAGACTCAGGACCCCTTGCTTGGGTCTGGAAGGCAATGAGGGTCCCAGTAACAAGAGTGGAGGTAGCGAACTGGCCCTAGGAGAACTGGCTGAAAAGGAGAGGGCGGCTAATCTCTGGATTTTAGCGCAGTTTGAAATGCAATCCCACTGTCCTTCCGGTCCCGAGGATTTGGACTTCTTTCTCTGCCCAATCTGCTGGTGCTCAGCAGCTTGCGGAGGTGACCTGGCAGCTGGGTCTAGGGGGAGGGTGGTCTAGGGGAATTAGCCAGGTAGCTCTGCCTAGGGGCCTGCTTTCTTATATAATAAGGACTTTTAAAAGCTTAAGAGGCTTCAAAGCCCAGCAGGCTGCCTCTCTAGAATTGACAGGGGCTTAGGTAACCCCTATCCTTCTCCTGAGATTCAAATCCAGCTGTTGGGGTTCAGGGTGCTGAGTGACAGGGAGGAGCCACAGTAGGTGAGGGAGCCGCCTGGAGCACTTGGGTGTTTGATGGACGCAGTGCTTTGGTTAGAGCAGATATTGCAAAAAGTGTCATTACAGAGTTCAGGCTGGGGTCATTCTGCAGCATCCCTTCTCCAGATGTACTGCTACCTTAAGGGGCCATGCCAACCCCGCACACTCCTACCCTTCACTTAGGCTCAAAAGAGCCTGTATAAAACCCCAGCCAGGTGGGGTAATGAGATTCAGAACCTGCTGGCTAGACGCCCATTAACCTGGAGCTGTGGGAAGAGGCCAGGATTCCATGAGAAGTCCAGTGTTACCGTTCTCTGCCTTGAACTTGGTGAGCTGTGTCCCCTGTCCCAACTTAACAGTGCTAATGTGATTACCTTCCTCCCCTAAAAGTGTTTTGAAATCTTGTTACTTCAAACAGCCCAGACCAGATGGAGACATCTAGGTTCCCTGCCTGGACCTCAGTGCCTGCTGGCCCCTATTCCCCATAGTCTCCCTGATGGGTTCAGACTTGCCCCTCCTCCCTTGAAGCTGCTAGGTGGATAGTCTCAGGGGATCAACTACCTTTCCTCAGGCTGAGGAGGTCCACTGGTTGCTTGGGTGTCTCCTCCCCATGGAGGAAGCAGCTGGGGAAGCTCAGGAAGAGGGAGGAGGGACGCCAGTGGGCTGGATTAAGTCTCTGGAAAAGGACAGCCTAACCCAGAACTGAGCCCAGCAGCTTAGAGTAATGAGGAGCTCTGACACAGGTCAAAGCAGGAGGGGGCATGGGGCCATAAAGTCTGTAATCACTGGGAAGGTGACCCTCTCCACAACTTGGCCTCCTCTGGGACCCAGCATCCTAGACTGGGGGAGATGTCACATTAAGGTCACCTGAGAAGGCAGAACCCAGTTGCTGTCTTGGGCCCCAGCTCTGGCTGAACCCTAAATAGTACTCATTCTTGACCCATGCTGTTGCAGACTGTGACCAAAACAGGTCCCTTAGAGACCTGTGGGGGAGACCAGTGGGGCAGCCCGAGCTCTGAGCCTACCATTGGCATGGGGCCCTGTCCTTCTATAGCCAGAAAGGGCAGCTCTGAATGGTCATGCACTTTCTTTGCTGGTCTCACTGCTCTTGCCCAAGGTGACCAGTGAGAGGTCCTAGTGCTGGTCCCCCTTGGGATGCCCACTCCTGGGATGTGTCTCTGAGTGCTGGAGATTTGGGTCCTTCCCAGGCATCCTGGCAAGCGGACTCTAATTCTCACTCAGTTGGGAACCCCAACAACCCCTTTCTCCTTTCTGATGCCTGGGGGCCTTCAGAGGCCCCCATCAGGGGCTCTCCTTTGGGCTCCACTAGAGGGGAAGGAAGCTTGAGGGTCTGTGGTGTCCCCCTTCCCCTCTCCCCAGTAAGAGCTGAGGGGACATCTATGAGTCTCCTGGCTCTTAGCTCTGTGGGAGCTCTTCCTCCCCTCTGCACACAGATGGAACAGTCTATGTTTTCCTGGCAGGGTCCCTGGGGCATCACTGGGGAGGCTGGGCATCCCAGGGAGCCTCCTGGCTTGGAAGCCAAGGTTCCCCTGGGCCTGGCTGTCACCACACTGCTGAGAGGTAAACAAACCCAGCCCCCCAGGGCTGGGGAAGGAGGGAGCGCAAGCCACAGACAACACTCCTGCTGGGGAGAGGACTCTGCCAGTCTCATTCTTTCACCTCACTAGATGTTAGCTGTGGGAACTCCAGGACAGCAAGGGGGAGAGCCTTAGCAGTTCTGGTCAGGCCAGAAGGAAGGCACTGCCACCCCACCTTCTCCCATATAAGAATCTTACTAACCCCAGGAAGAAATTTGGGTCTTGCTGGGTACTTGGGGCCACCCAACTTCTGCTTTGGGAAATTAAAAAAATTTCCTCGCTTCTGTCCTGATTTGTATGTATACTTACTTGTCTAAACCAGGCCTGCCAGTCTTCCCACCACACTACCCTTCCAAATGGAAACAAATTTTCCTCTTTGGGGGCCAACCCCCTCTGGTTTCTACACCATTTTTTTGAGCAGAGAATTGGGCCACTAGACTGAAGCCTTGGACCTTCTCTTCTCCCTTTTCTGAACTGTAGCTTTTGCGTCTATAAATGGGGGGATTTAATAATTGGCAATTGACAGATTGTGGAATAAATGTGATCATTTAAGAAAAAAATGCTTTGTAGACTGTAGAGGGTTGCAAGGCCGCCCAAAGGTCAAGCAGTGTCATTGTTTAAAATGCCTGCTCCCTAGGAATGATGTAGGAGTTGGGTCGGGGTTAGTGGTCCAACTTCCACCTCCTGTGTGTTAGGGAGCTGTGAGCCCAGACCAGTATCTTGGCCCCTGGTCTTGATCAGGGTCAGGGGATTAGTATTGGAGAAAGCAGAGGTACTCCTGCGGTTAGCAACGGGAGCCTCAGGCGCCCACTGCACCCAGTGAACGGGAGGGCCCAGGTTGGGGGCGAACCCTTGGAAGACAACTGCTGGGGTCCTGGGTAGCACGCTGAGCGGCGGCGAAGGGGGCGTGTCCCGGCCTGGTTCGGCCCCCTCTTCCCGCAGGTCCCACGTCCCCCTCCCTCGCCGTGGCAGGCAGAGTCACTGTGCTTCTGCAGGCGGTCGGGCGTGTGCGCAACGGCAGCGGTAGCAGCGGCGGCCCAGCAGGGCCTTTGTGCAGCGCGGGGCGGAGGCAGCGGTCCCCGAGGGAGGGGCGGGAGGAGAGGGCGGCGCCCGGGGCTGCCCGCTGCTGCCGCAGCCCCCGCCCCCGGCTCGCCCGGCCCCCGGCTGCAGCGTGGCCGCGGCGTGCGCGTCAGCAGCAGCAGTGGCAGTGGCGGCAGCAGCAGCGGCGGCGGGGTGGCCCGCACGGGTGTTTATGTCGGGTCGCCGTGTCTCCCAGCAGCATGGCGGACTACCTGATCAGCGGCGGCACCGGCTACGTGCCCGAGGATGGGCTCACCGCGCAGCAGCTCTTCGCTAACGCCGATGGCCTCACCTACAAGTAAGTGCGGGGCTCCACTCCGCCTGGGTGCGCGCACCTCTGCACCACGGTCCCCAGTCCCCCGCCCTGCGTGTGTACAAGTTGACGCCCGGCACGCCCTGGCCCAATAAGAGTGACTTGGGGCCAGTGGGGGGCTGGGCAAGGGAAGGGAGGAGGCCCGCGCCCTGAGCAGATGGACGTGGCACAGCGACATCGCGGCCCTTGACCTGTTCCGCTCCTGGTCAGATTCTGGTGCAGCCTGTCCTCATCCTCCTGTCAGGGGCATCTTGGCCGCATGGAGAGGCCTTGAGGCGTGTTGGAAAGAGAGGTGTGGGAGTTCTGAGAAGACTTTAACCAGACCTTGGTCCAGGATGCCCTCTTCCTCCAAGCCTCCTCACAAGAGCAGGAGCTTCCCTGGAACCCAGATCAGGCAGCTACTTGATGTTGCTCCCCACCCCCCAGGGGCCCTGCCGGGCGAGTAGGATGGCTCTTTTTTTTTTTTTTCCCCACTGTCCACACAAGTGTGTGCCCCTGCCTGCCCACAGGTTGGCACTGGTGCCCACCTCTTCCCCATGAGTATTCTGTGACTACCACCCACAAGCTCACTCCACATGGAATTTTGGAGAAGGATGAAATTCTATACATCTGCTTCTAGCTTAGTTTGCCTTTTCTGTGGGCCCTAGGCCAATTGTCCTGCCGGCTGCAGGCCTGGCACTAGTTGTGCCTCCTGGCTGCAGGACTGTGTTCCTGCCAAGAAGGAGCATCAGAACTCAGGACTTGGGCAGAGTGGGGATGCTGGCGAGCTAACAGCATCCCTGACCTGTCTTCTGCCATCTCTACCCTGACTCTTAAGCATTCCTTCTTGGCAGGCGCTCTCCCTAAGCACCAGACACTGTGTCACTCCTGGGGAGGGTCCCCTCTTGCCTGCCCAGTGGCAAGGGGTGTATGTAATACTTAGAAAATGCTCACAGGCCCAGACTCTAGCATTTCTTCTTTGGCCTCTATGCAATCTACACAAGGAGGCCTCTGCCCTATACAGAGGGCTTCCAAGTCCTTTGTTGCTTTGGTGGTCTTTGGTGATGAGAGAGGGGGTATATCTTTGATATAGTTTTCACTGGAGTGTCCTTGGGGAACTCCTAGAAGTTTCTATAGGTCTTAGGGGACAAATTAACCACACCACTCCCACTCCGTGCCTTTTCCTTTCTGCACTAGGGGTGCCTCTTGCTTCCCTTAGCCAAGTTTAGAGTGTTCCTGAAGTGTGGAGCATTTTGGGTAAATTTTTCAAGGCCTGTCAAGCCTTCAGGCAGGTGGAGCCAATGGGGTGAGCCCTTGACCTGTGGCATTGCACCTAGATGTACCCTTGCAAGGCCTGCACTCTCCTTTTGGATTTCACTGTGACCCTGGCCACTGTAGTGTGGCCAGCTGCCACTCTGTGGCTGGTTCTAACTGTAGCCCTCCTTGTTCTGCTTTCCTGTCCTAACCATGTTTGTTAGTTGCTCCTGTCCCAGTGCCTGCTTTGTCAGAACATGCCCTACGCTCAACCCCCTGGGGTCCCTCCATGCTGCTTTGAACCTCATGTGACTCAGCACACCCCTGCCCTGGGGTGTGCTGAGGTGTGCAGTTTGTCCTTTGCTGGGTCTCGCTCATGTCTTGTTGCACTACAGAATTTGCTCAGGTTCTATGTATTCTGTGTTGACTTATTGTTTGCTCCTGTCAAGATTGAGAAGTTTTCAAGGACAGACATGTTGTGTGTGGCCATATGGGAACTTCTGTGTCCCTTGACAAACTCTGGAGGCAATGGATATATTTTGGTCCAACCATTTTGGTGGCATCCAGGTCCACAGACCTTCTGCCGTCTTTGACTGTACTACCTGGGGCTGGAGTAGGCAGGACATTAGTAGGGGGGAATGAGGAGGGTTCTTCCCATTGGAACAGCAGAAATGAGAGGGCCCCAGCCTCTCTTCTCTTGCCTTTTCTCCAGCCCTGTGCTGCCTCTTCTGTCATGGCAAGTCATGACTCTTTGGGGCACCCCTGCTTTCCAGTAACAATTTCTGTCTTTGCAGTGACTTTCTGATCCTCCCTGGATTCATAGACTTCATAGCTGATGAGGTGGTGAGTATCTCTTCCTTTGACACTGGGAGGGGACTGGTATATCATGGAGGATGCTGACTTCTTGTTCAAGGCAGGATGTGGGAGAGGCTTTTCTTCGGAATGTGGTGGGTATAGCCTTTATTGTTGAGGGCAAAGGCTTATAGCTGATGGGGCAAGGACAGAGGTAGCAGGGGGTAGAGGTGGTCCTGAGTGAGGGCCTTGCAAAGGGCCAGAGGAAGCCCTGTTACTGATGGAGGCTGGGAGGGAAGAGTCAGAAGGTTCAGAAAAGGCCTTGGGAGAGTAGGGCTCAGTTGTGGCTGCCTTATGAAGACCATAAGGATTGGATGTTGTATGAAATGCTGCGCACAAATGTGATAGAAGCTATAAAATTATGTACACTTTGAATACAGTGTTCAGTGAATGTTCACTGACCCCAGAAGGCACAAAAACTGGCAAGAGGGTTTGGAGGAGTAGGATTTTGGACAAATACAAGGAAACACAGGGCCTTACTTTCCATGAAGGTCTCAGAATGAGCCAAATCAATGAACAATTAGTATATAAAGATGAGAGGGGCAGCGATGATGGTGTAAGTCAGTTCAAGGAAAAGCTTGATGGTTCTATGATGAATTCAGGTGCATTAAAAAAATCATTTCTTTTGTTGCTGCTGTTATTTCTATTTATTCTGGTCTGATTCTCATGAAAGACCAGAGGCTCTGTGTATGCCTAGATCATTTATGTGTTAGGGAAGCTCATGCTTAGCCTGTGTGTGCAGAGCTGACCCAAACAGATTTTTAGTGGGAAATTTGGGCTATTCTGGATATTTCTCTTATGACAGCAACCAGGAAGCCTTCTTGGTCCCTGTTTAGTTTAACAAAGTTTACTCAGCACCCTGGCTTTGTGCCAGATCTTGGGCTGGCTGCTAGGAAGAGAAGGGCTGAAAAGATCCCTGTCTGCCTGCTGGCCTCTTGTCAGGAAGGCAGTGGCTCTTTTGTCACATGGTTCATGTGTAGAAGGTGACATTTTCTAGGCCATGGGGCCAGGGCTCTGGTTCAGGGTCTGTGACTTCAAGGGCCTGTGAGTCTCAAAAGTGAAATACCAAAATCTGTGTCTGGGTGTTTTGGAGCTAGGGTCAACAGCTGTTGACTTGAATCTCAGAGATCTGACCTTATATACCATTTGTAGACAGATGACTCCCAAATGTATTTAGGTTGGGACATTTGCACACACATAATGAGATATCTTGGGAATGGACTCAAGTCTAAACCAGAGTTCATTTATGTTCCATATACATGCACCTTACATGTATAGCCTGAAAGTAATTTCATACAATATTTAGCACAACTACATTTTGATTGTGACCTGTCACATGAGGTCAGATGAGGCACCAGTGACCAAAAAGTTTTAGATTTTGGAGCATTATTGTCTTGGGAACCTTCAGATTATGAATGCTCACCTGTACTTCAATCCTGACTCTTCTCTTGAGCTCTACACCCTTTGTTACTCACTTCCTGGATGGCTAATAGATGCTTTCTCCTGCCTCCCCATCTTAGCCCTTGTCACCCAAAACACACCTACCACATGCTCCCAATGTTACCTGGCCTCATTGTCTTTTGTGGCCTTCATGTCGACCGAAATCACTTTGTGTGTCTCGTACCTGCCATTTTTGTTGTTGTTGGCAGTTCTGGGGGTTGAACTCAGGGTTTGCACTGTACATTGTACATTGGTTAGATCGCCCCCCTTTCATCTCCCCCAGGCCACCCCCTCCCTGTCCCACTTAGAGTAATTATCAGAGGTTTCATCATTCTATTTCCTTTATGTCTATGAAGCTCCTCACCCCTATTTCTTCATCTCATCTCCTCCATTCACCCTCCTCTCTTCCATCAGTACCCCCCTAAACCGAACCTGTTCTACAGTACTGCCTATGATTATTAATTCCTAAGTCAAGGTTCAAAGAGGTTTCTCCAAAAGCATTTATGTCTTAACCAAGATGACTTATTCACTATTCCCCCAAGTGGTTATTTTTGAGATAGGATCTTGCTTTATGCCTGGGCCAGCCTGGACCATGATCCTATTTGTGCTTCTCTGTGTAGCTGGAATGACAGGTACATGCCACTATGCCCAGCCACTGATTGAGATGGGGTCTTGTGAACTTTTTGCCTGGGCTGGCTTTGAACCATGATCCTCCTGATCCCTGCTTCCTGAGTAGCTAGGATTAGAGGCTTAAGCCATTGCCTCTGGCCACACCTGTCATTTTTCTTTCTATGTGAAACATAGCTCTCTGTGTTGTTCACTTCTATGCCCAAGGGCCTGTCCTGGTGTAGGACACACATAAGCACTGGTGAGTGTTTGTCCAGTGCAGATAAAAACCCTTCAAATGAACATGTAGGATGTGACTACATAGAGATTGGTCAGGACAGAGGGGCAGGGTGAGTAGAGAAGATGTTCTATAAATAAAGCATATTGGGGGAATAGTGAATAAGTCATCTTGGTTAAGACATAAATGCTTTTGGAGAAACCTCTTTGAACCTTGACTTAGGAATTAATAATCATAGGCAGTACTGTAGAACAGGTTCGGTTTAGGGGGGTACTGATGGAAGAGAGGAGGGTGAATGGAGGAGATGAGATGAAGAAATAGGGGTGAGGGACTTCATAGACATAAAGGAAATAGAATGATGAAACCTCTGATAATTACTCTAAGTGGGACAGGGAGGGGGTGGCCTGGGGGAGATGAAAAGGGGGGCGATCTAACCAATGTACAATGTAAGGTTATTCAGAACTGTCACAACAAATGAATAATGAACATATGCTAATAAAATGGGGGGAAAGAAAAAACAAAACAAAAAAAAACCCTTCAAATGAACTGTGCTTCCATCTTCAGGACTTGACGTCAGCCCTGACACGAAAGATTACACTGAAGACACCACTGATCTCCTCTCCCATGGACACTGTGACAGAGGCTGATATGGCCATCGCAATGGCTGTGAGTCCCACTCCTGGGTGGGGATCCCCCAGGACCAGGGGGCTGAACAGGGTGGGTTATGCAGAGGGGCAGGACTGAGGAGCCCCTGGCTCTGACTACACTTCCCTTCCATCCCCAGCTTATGGGAGGAATTGGCTTCATTCACCACAACTGCACCCCAGAGTTCCAGGCCAATGAGGTGCGGAAGGTCAAGGCAAGTACCAGGCCCATGCCCAGAAAGATGCCACCTGGCAGGCCCTGCCTTGCAGACCCTGCTGTCCTTCCTCATAGCTCTGAAGCCTGATGCATCTCCTGGTCCATCACTTTGGGGTCTTGGATGCCCTTCCTCACAGTAGTGCACAGGGCTCAGTCCGTATTTTCCCACTGGCCCCATGGCTTTCTTTCACCCTTTCCTTCCGTTTTCTGCCCACAGAAGTTTGAGCAGGGCTTCATCACAGACCCTGTGGTACTGAGCCCCTCGCACACTGTGGGCGATGTGCTGGAGGCCAAGATACGGCATGGTTTCTCTGGCATCCCCATCACTGCAACAGGCACCATGGGCAGCAAGCTGGTGGGCATTGTCACCTCCCGGGACATTGACTTCCTTGCTGAAAAAGACCACACCACCCTCCTCAGTGAGGTACCTACAGGACAGGGAAAATGGGGTTGGGGTGCAAAAAAGTCCCCACACCTTCAGTCCCCAGGCTGGTGTCTGTGACCAAGGACCAGAGGGAGGCCTGGCTCCTTCTCTCTCACCTGCCAACCTGCAGGCAAATGTTCCTGGCCCCACAGGTGATGACGCCACGGATGGAGCTGGTGGTGGCTCCAGCAGGTGTGACATTGAAAGAGGCAAATGAGATCCTGCAGCGCAGCAAAAAAGGTACTGAGGAGTAGACAGCCCATCACACCAGCTCCCTGTTCCAGGTCCCTCCATTCCTTCACAGCCTTTGTCCCAGTACCACTCTGGGCCATAGGGAAAGTTTTGATGACACCAAGCAGGCTGGAGCATGATTTCCAATTTTCCAATGCCATTCTTCTGATTTTGGGAAACCCATTCCTAAGTCAGAATCTTCACACTGTGATTCCCAAAACCAGTCCTATGAGGTGCTTGTCCCCCGAAAAGGGCATTGTGGTCTTAAAAGCCTAGGAAAGGGCTGAGTGGTATGAATATGTACTTAACATGAGCAAGGCCTTGGGTTTGATCCCCAGCACAGCAAAAACTATTAAAAAGTCTGGAATGGACTGGAGGCATGGCTCAAGTTGTAGAGTACCTGCTTTGGAAGCATAAAGCCCTGAGTTCAAAGCCCAGTCCCACCAAAAAAAAAAAGAAAAACAACTAAAAGTCTGGAAAATCCTGCTTTTTTATGTCTTCCCTTCTGCATAAAAACTTGTATATTAGAGCAGGGTATAGTGGCACACACCTGTTATCCCAGCTCTCCAGAATCTAAGGCAGAAGGATGGTGAATTTGAGGCCACCCTGGGCTATGTAGTGAGCTCAAAAGATAAATAAGTAAAATAAATAAAAAGTAAGGTCTGGTAGAGTACCTGCCTAACACTTCCCCAAGTTAAAAAAAAAAGTCCACTGGCTTACTAAATGCTCTGAAAAGTCCTATAAATTTATTTGACATTAAAGTTGTTTATATATCCTTCACTAAGTCTCTTTGGGCTGTTGTTCTCTGGTCCACAGGGGAGAGATCTGTGGGCTTTGTACTGGGCAAAGCACATGTGCCCCTCCACATAGCTCACATTTGTGGTTTGTCTGGGAGTTTCCAAAACCATAGTGATTTGTGGCCCAGAAAGTGAAAAGCCACCAGTACTCAGAGGCTGCGCCTCTCTCCAGGACAGGCAGCAGGACAGGAAGAGCACTGGAACCTGCTTGTCTGGGAGGTTTCTTTGCTTCCTGTTCCTTGGGAAGAGCACCACATCCTTTGGGGCACTTCCTGGGTGGGTGCTGTCACCTAGTGGCTGCTTTGGGTACTTCAGTGAAATCTGGTGTGGTGCGTTTTCATCTTCACCCCCCAAACACACATCACCCAACCTCCTGGTGTTTCTTCATGTCACCACTGCTTTCATGGTCAGGGAAGCTGCCTATTGTCAATGACCGTGATGAACTGGTGGCCATCATTGCGCGCACGGACCTGAAGAAGAATCGAGACTACCCTCTAGCCTCCAAGGACTCCCACAAGCAGCTGCTGTGCGGGGCAGCTGTGGGCACCCGCGAGGATGACAAATACCGCCTGGACCTGCTCACCCAGGCTGGAGCCGATGCCATAGTACTGGTGAGGAGATGGCGCTTCTCTAAAGTTTAGGCTTAGGAGGCCCCGTGTTCACTGCTAATTTAGCCTGTGACTCCCTGTTGCTGTTCCTCCTCTCAGCTTCTGCCTACTCCCCCGTGTCAATATCAGGCACTGTCTTGTAGGCCCCTGAGGATCACCTCATGCATGAGTTGACCATAATAATTATAGCTCACATTTACCGAGAGCCTCCCCCACCGCACACTTACATATATATATTTGCTCATTTAGTCTTTGCAATAGCACCTTAGGAGACAGCAGCCGTACGCAGTTGTAGATAAACGGAGGCTAAGTAATTTCCCTTGGTTAGTGATTGGTGGGAACAGGATGCTAATCTCCTTTCTTTGTGGGTGGACCCCATCGGGGTAGGAAGAGACTCTGTCTGTACCTTAGTGCTTAACGTTCTGGAAAAGCAGGCTGCTTTGAAAATTAGCTTGGAGTTGTCAAGTGACATTCAAGAAAAAGAAAGAGCACTTTCATAAGTTTTCCTATGAGTTCAGGGGTTCATCCACTTAGGGTCCTTCTCCCTCAGTGCCGAGCCGCAGCTGTCTAGTCTAAGCTGTCCTGTCCCCTGCTCACAGGATTCCTCCCAAGGGAACTCGGTGTATCAGATCGCCATGGTGCACTACATCAAGCAGAAGTACCCCCACCTTCAGGTGATTGGGGGGAATGGTGAGTGTGGAATCCTCTCTTCTGTCCTCTTTACTGTCCTTCAGCACCTCTAGGTGATGGCATTGCTCCTGGAATGGGGGACAGTGGGCAGGATGGGTTTTGGACACTTTGGTCGGGGGACTAGACCGAGATCCTAAGAAGCCCCTGGGCAGATTGGGGACATCTATCCTTAAATTGTTCCTCTGTCTACCTCCCCCACCCCCAGTGGTGACAGCAGCCCAAGCCAAGAACCTGATTGACGCTGGTGTGGACGGGCTGCGTGTGGGCATGGGCTGTGGATCCATCTGCATCACCCAGGAAGGTGGGTGACCATAGGAGGTGGAGTGACTGCCATTTAGAGCCACCCAGGTCTATCATTGGCCCTGGTGCCATGCTCTTGTTTTGCATAGCAACTGCTTGTCCTGCCAGGTCCTTCATGGGATGGTAGACTTGGGGTGATCCAGGCATAGGTTCCATCCCATCCAGTTCATAGTCTTGGAGGCGGGTGTAAGTAGATGAAGGCATGAGAGTTTGGGAGTGCGCTAGCTTGCTTCTCAGACTCTGGTCAAGGAAGCTCAGTCTGGAGGCCCAAGGTTGATGTGATGTTTTCCCTGGATGTATGTCAGAAGCCAGCTAAGGGCTTGGATTGGATTGGTAACAAGGCAGATGCCTAAGGCACGAAGACATGTCCCGAAACATATGGGGAGACCGTAAACCCACATTACCTTATGGTGATAGCAGAATAGAGGAGGGTGAGTTCTACTGTGTCACAAAGCCCTCTTGAAGGGTGGGTCCCTCAACATGGAAGGGAGAAGGGGCAACCTGACCTGTGTCCACCTGTGTGCTTGAGAAGAACCTTCTGGGAGGCTGGTGTCTGACTTGTGAGGTGACTGTCTGGACTAGTTGGGTCTGGCTTGGAGAGATGGATCTGGCCCATCTGCCTTCCCTGTCTCAAACCTATCCCCAGTTTGGTCTTCAGAGCCTCCGCCTTTTAACTTCAGCCTTTACCTTAGTTGACTCCCCTGTTGAAACATGGGCCTTTCTCACTTCATGAATATTAACTGAGCACCTACTGTGTGCCAGGCAGTATTCTAAGCTTTGTATCCATCCCTAGCAAAGTGTTGGCTCCTTTGAATTCTCATTTACCCTATACATAAGGGCCTTGGACAACTAAAGAAACGCAAACCAGTATCCCAAAGGAGGCCATAAGTACCTGCCCCTAGTCACAGCTTTTGCAAATGGAAGCTTTGTTGGGGAGCTTGTGCATCCAAAACAGATAATGCTAGGGACCACTAGTCTTAGGGTGCTATACTGTGAAGGCCAGTACAGATTCCCCCATCCAGGTCCCCTGTAGTGGTATTGCAGAGTGTGGCCCAGGTCCCTGGAGTGACATTTCCTCCTAATATTACTTATTGGCACCTATCTTAGGCATCAGAAATACCATCCCACCCCCACCCCATTCCTTCCCCAGAGTGGCCATAGATACAAGGAGCTGAAATCACCCTGTGCCTGGCCCCAGTGCTGCTGTTGACTCATCTCTGTCCTGTGTACCCCATTCTCCCGCAGTGATGGCCTGTGGCCGGCCCCAGGGCACTGCCGTATACAAGGTGGCTGAGTACGCCCGACGCTTTGGTGTGCCAGTCATAGCTGATGGTGGCATCCAGACTGTGGGGCATGTGGTCAAAGCCCTGGCCCTTGGAGCCTCCACAGGTGAGGGGAGGGCCTCCAGTTTGGTTGGGTGGAGCTGGTAGTCAGCAAGGGCAGTAGGGAGCTGTGGTTGCAAGCACTGACCCCTTGACCTCTGCAGTGATGATGGGCTCCCTGCTGGCTGCCACTACAGAGGCCCCTGGTGAGTACTTCTTCTCTGATGGGGTGAGGCTCAAGAAGTACCGGGGCATGGGCTCGCTGGATGCCATGGAGAAGAGCAGCAGCAGCCAGAAACGATACTTTAGGTATGTTCTCCAGGCCCCAGCCCTGGCAGATCATATGCTCAGGGGCCTGGACCTCCCCAGATTGCATTCACCCTTGTGTCCCAGTTCTGGAAACTGAGGCACAGCCATATGTAGGGCCTGGGCCTCCTGAGCTGGAGGCCGTGCTTATCTCTGCTGTAGTCTAACACATGGCTACCATGGGGACCCTTCTGGGTGACATCCTCCCTGCCTAGATCCTGGAGAGATGGAGTGGGGTTTTCTGAGCCTCAGGCTGCTGGGCTCAGCCTCCCCACCCTCCACACAGCGAAGGGGATAAGGTGAAGATCGCACAGGGTGTCTCGGGTTCCATCCAGGACAAAGGTTCCATTCAGAAGTTTGTACCCTACCTCATAGCGGGGATCCAGCATGGCTGCCAGGACATCGGGGCCCGGAGCCTGTCTGTTCTGCGGTGAGTGCTGCAACTAGAGGAGTCATTGGTTGGGGATCCTTGGGAGGTTTCCCTCTCTCCTGCTTTCTTTCTGCCTGGGTGCCCCTGACTTGCTCACTTGCCCACCTGCAGGTCCATGATGTACTCAGGAGAGCTCAAGTTCGAGAAGCGGACCATGTCGGCCCAGATTGAGGGTGGTGTGCACGGCCTGCACTCGTAAGTGGGAGGCCTCCTTGCTCTCACTGGCTGGTGCTGGGTTGGACAAGTTGTGCAGTTTCAGAGGCCAGGCTGAGGTTCCAGGGCCCCAGGGACCAGGGGTGGATGCTACTGCAGGATAATCCTGTCACGTGGTCCACAAGGCCCATCCCACCCTGGAACCTTGTCCTGGAGCCCCTATGCAGGCCAGCTGCTTCCCTCCCCTCGGGTATTTACCTGAACAGGGCACAGGAGGTGTGGCCACTGGCTGTACCTGCGCTCCGAGCCCTTGCTTGCTCAGGAAGCTTGGTGGCTGGTGGCAGGGGCTGGTGGTGCTAGGTTCTTGCTGGTGGTGGCCCCAGGCAGGCAGGCAGAAGATGGGGGCATGAGCCCTCTGGTGGGGAGAACGGCAGAGAGACAGATGCCAGGGCCAGCGCTGGGGCAACTGTGGGTGGGGGCAGAGCTAGTTGACAGCAGTAGTTGCAGGCATGCGGCCCGCCCTGGTCAAGAGGGCCCAGCTCCCCACGCATAGGCGGGCATCTAACCTGTGTCTCTTTCTGCCCCACCCTCCCATAGCTATACCTTTCTGCCGTGTAAGTAACTGCGCTGCCCGGGCCAGGCGTAGAGTAGTGCAGGGGCCATCTGGGTGGGACCTGGGCTGGGAGGATGGACATGGGGTTGGGGGCGGCACTGGGGTGTAATCATGGGACACAGACCCCTCCCCCATCCCCAGCACCATGATGGCAGAGGCTAGCTGTGGCCCTTCAGCAGCTGAAACCCAAGTCCCCTTTTGGAGTGCAGAGAGATGCCTGTGACCACAGGCCTGAGGCCTCATCTTTAATTGGACCCAGTGAGGGGCCAGGGCCACCCTATGTGCAGAAGTGGAGTGGACACAGGGCTGCAGAGGTTGAGCTTCTGGTCAGAGCCTGCTCTGTGAGGATGGCTGTACCTTCCTGAGCCATTTCTCCACCCCAGGCACTGAGGCTAGCCCACTCATATGTGGCCCTGGCCAGGAGCATGGCTGTCTCTGGGCTTGGCATAGTTCTTGAGGGAGCCCTGGCTTGGGGCGGACAGAGGGGCATAGTTCAGAGGGAGCCCTGGCCAGGGCCGCTTTTTGCCTCCTCTCACTGCTATGGCTGAGAGGCGGGCTCTGCAGCTCCCTGCCCTCTCCCAAATCTAAGGGTCCCTGGGTTAGGAGATGTTGAGGAGAACAGAGTCCACACACCCACTCTTGGTCCCCTCTTGCATTGTCCCCACAGTTACGAGAAGCGGCTGTACTGAGGAGAGCGGTGGAGGCCGAGGCAGTGGAGGGGGCACACCGCAGGGTCCCCTTTCAGGCACAACCTCCCTCCATAACTGAACGGTCCATGGATTTGCACTACGGGTTCCCCAGCTCCTTTCCAGGGAGAGAGGAGGGGAGGCCCTGGGGGGGCTTTGGCCCCTCTCTGGGTAACCCCCGCAGAGTCAGGATGCTCCCTGGGCCAGGTTGCCCTGGGAGCCCCCAGGTTCCCCCTTCCTCAGTCCCGTGAGCCTAGCCAGTCCGGGCTCTCAGGCCCTGTGCCTGCCTCAGGTCTTTCTCGCTGCAGCCTGCTCCAGCCAGACTCCCACTCTTAGGGCAGGTGGCCCTTCCTGGCTTCTCCTGTAGGGCACCTCTCTCCTTGCCCCCTCCCCCAGGAAATGGTGCTCTCCTGGCCCTGCCGCTGGCCCCTTCTTGGGCTGCTGCCCTCTCAGCCATGTGGCACTTTGGGCTCCTGACCTAGGCCAGGGGGAGGTCTCTGCCCCCTTCCCCTGGCCTGAGGCTACCCCTGGGCCCTGCTCCTCAGGCCACTCCCCTATCCCTGAACCTGGGAAGGAGGCTGCCCTGATAATAGCCACCTGCCCATCATTCCTGACTCATCATCATCCCCAGGTGTACCATTCCTGCCCTTTCCTCTCAGCTGCAGTTGAAGGCTTTAACTTTGCACACTTTGGGGTCAGAGCTGTGTCATTGTATACTAAATAATCTGAATAAATCAAGCAGGTCTCAATGCCTCCACCATCCTGTCTCTGTCCCTTGCCTATTGGGTGGCTGGTCTCTGTCCTGGTGTTAAACTGGAGCCCCATCAGAGCCAGACCTCCCCCAAGAAGATGAGCAAGGGGTTGCAGTGCTCGAGAGGATACTGGTGCAGGTGAGCTATGGGGCAGGTCTCCAGGCCTGTGCCAGCAGGCCAGCAGCTACTCCAGGTGTAGAAGACCAGGATTGGGGACCTCATGGGTGGTTGTTAAAAAGCCCCCACTTCAGCTTGTAATTCCAAACTTTGCAGCTCAGGCAAAGAAGTACAGCATAGCAGTGGCCCTGACCATCAGGCCAGTACCTGTGACCAAGCGCTGCTCAGACACACCGTGGGTATAAGGCAGCGTGGATGAGCTCTCCCCACTCCCATGTCGCTCAGGACTCTTCCTCTTGTGGGGCAGACTGCTCCTTGGGCTACTGAGTACTTCCTAGAGTTGGGGGGGTCTTGGGATGTTCATGTTGCCTTTCTGTGCTGGTGTTGTAGGCGGACGTGGTTTGCAGAGCTGTCCCATCCAGGCTAGGGCACCACTCAAATAAGCAGAGTGAGGAGGATGGCCTGGGGATGCCTTAGTGGCAAGGATTAGCAGAGGGTGGGGAAGATCTGGAAGTACTCCTGTGGCTACCAGGGAGGGGCTGCACAGCACCCTGTTGGCTTACCACACCACTGCCCTCTCACAGGCCTCCACTCACAGCCTTTCCAGCTAGGGGGCTGCTGTTGGTGGACAGTGCATCTGGGCCAGGTTTTTACTACACGTTTCCTGCTTTGTGGCATTTTCAGGGACAAGAGGCAAAGAGCTGGGTGGTAAGAGGTTGGATGGGCTCACAGCGATCCAGGAATTGTTACAAAGAGATTGGGTCATTGAGAGTCCCTGCGGATCTTGTGCTCTGGAGTCTGTGGTCTCTGTGAGCACCTGAGACTCAGAGGTGGCCTAAGTGTCAGAGAGAAGGATGCCTGGGTCCCAAAAGGTAGTAAAAGGTGAGGAGATGGATCAAAATGAAGAGAGTTTGCCTTTGAACTAGACCTCATTGGACAACAGAGCTGACAAGTAGAATGGGTTACCTTGTAATCCAGTGGCCTCCCAACTACTTGAGGTTCATTAGCATTAGTTTGGCCCATCTAGAGGTAGTTCTGGCACAGAGGGTGTGTTTCAGGAGAGCCAATAAGAACCCTAGATGCTCAGGCCCACTGGAGTGATCTGAGGTCTGGGGCTGTGAATGGAATCTCAGTCCCCTGATTCTGATACATACCAAAAGTTGAGAATGACTGTTGTAGGGGAAATCCATGCATGCAATTACAGAATTTCTGAGAGTTTCCAAAGCATGTGTTCTAGAAAAGAATTTCAGATGACACAGCACCTATCTCACGGCCTAATCATTATCATGTGAAAGAATCCGTGGAAGATTACAGGTGTTCAGAAAATTAGTCTTGTGTCCTATTTGCCCTGCCATTGTCCAGATGACGATGGGCTGGGGTTAAGCCAGACAACACGCTCACTATGGGCTGCAAATTTATCTATAGCAGGCAAGGCCTAGAGGAGACAAAGGGACAGATGTCCTGGGTAGGAGGACACATCAGGCCAATATGTGGAAACAGCCCAGAGCTGGATTTGGAACAAACCTTGGTCAGCAGAACTTTGTGCCCACCTGGAGTTCAGACTGGTTTGTATGGCCCAGGCATCCCTTACCCTTTTCCTGGCGTAATACCCAGAGCCTCATGATCCAGGCTGCCTACCACCTGGCTGTAGAAGATTCTCTGCAGGTGCCAAACCATGCTGCTGTAGTACCCCAAGCTCCAGTTCATGGGCAATGGCATCGATGCTAAGGTGTTGCCATCCAGGGACGGTGTGTATCATCAGGTGCCCCAGATCCCTGCAGCAAAACCAGCACCTGAGCGGCCTGAACCAGTCCCCAGCATGGACACAGAAATTGGCAGGCCAGGAAGAGCTACATGTGCTTGGCTTGGGCAGCTGGCCTTGCCACCAGGAAGGGCAGAAGCAGCAGGTGGGACTGGGGGATCCTGGGAGTCTTAGTGTGCAGTTTGGGTGGATGGAGCCAGTGAATTGCATCCCCATTACCTCAGGGGGAATAGTGGGGCCCTCTCTGGTGTACCCTGGGAACAGATGGAGGAGGAGCAGCAGGCTGTCCTCACCTCTGGCCCCACCTTCTCCCTCACCTCTGAGGGCTGAGCACAGGTACTCCCAGATGCCCTAATTCCAGAGCTCAGGAAGGGCTGAACTAGCCTCAAGCCCTTTTTAACTTTGTGGCTTTAGTGCCAATCAGGAAGTGGGCAGGCAGCCTAGAGGGGAGGAGGGGTTAGCACCTCTGATGTGTGTGACCCACTGCTCTCAATCCCTCTCCCATCTCTCTCCTCCCATCTAGAGTGGGTTCTGTAGAGAAAGAGGGACCTAGTCATTGGAGCGTGTGGGCTGGTGGAGGCAGCCTCTCCCTCTGCCCCTAGCTGCTTATTCTTTCAGGATCCCCTTTGACTTTTAAAAGCCAGACTCCAAGTCCAGGCTTACATACAGATCTGCTTTATGAAGGGAGTTGGGGGACCAATTCTACCCATCAGCCCTTCTGCCTCCAGCTGCAGTGTTTGGAGGCAGGGAATCTGGTCAGAAGGCAATGGCAGGGTTGAAGCACCCAGTGTCACACCTGTGTTCTCAGAGCAAGGCATCTCACCTGCAGGGTGCACGAGTCACTACCACCAGCTTCTCTTTAGTTACCTTCCTTCTGGCTCAGCTCAGGCGGGATGGTGCGTGGGTCAGGGACCTGTGAAATCTTGCACAGTGGTTTATGAAAACCTTATGAGAATAGCATGACCAACAATTGAGACAGGGAAAGGTCTTGAGTTTTTAGATAAATACCAAGTCACTGAGTCAAGCAGGTGAGTGTACAAAGGGAGAATTTGCCTTTAAACTAGACCTCATTGGTTAATAGAGCTGACAAGTAGAATGGGTTACCTTTTAATCCAGTGATTGGCTTCCTTACCCCCACTGGGGACATCAGCTTCTGGACTGATATAGGGTGTCTGGCTTCCTCATCAGCCTTGCTCCTAGCCCAGCTAGAGGTGGACAGGGGAAATCTGGATAGCACTATTAGCCTGGGACACAGCCTTTCCCTCACCCAGTGCCTCAGTTTCCCTACTGGTGAAAATCACCCCCACCTGCAGGCACAGCAACACCTTCCTGGTTGTTGATTCCACACCTCAAATATTCCACTTGACCTGCACCTTTCAAGGCAGGCTGATCTCAGATGGCTAAAGGTGTGGGCTGCCTCAGGCAGGAGTCAGTTCAGGAGCGCAGGTCCCCCTTGCAGGTGTCTGCCTCTCTGTCTTCGGCTGGGAACAGGGTGAACTGAGCTCCAAGGGGTGAATTTGATAACAGTCTTAGTGGGTAAGAAGGTTCTTCCCAGAGAGGAAAAGGAAGTCAGGACTAGGGGTGCCAGGAGTTGAGTGGCTCTGGAAGAGGAGGAGCAGGAGGGGATATTTCCTAAGGACCTTGCTGTGACCCCACTCATCACGGTCTTTTTCCCAACTCTAACCTCTTTATCTCCACCGCTCCCTCCCTATGGGAAGCAAAATGCAGGTCTGCACTGCAGATTCCCAGCTTCAGGAAATCAATGAAGGGGAGGTACTTCCTCTGGACCCCACTGCACTGTTCTCTGCCTGTATATGGGAAAGGACACAGCTTTCACCCTCCCGTGGTCCACAGTGTCCAAGTCATTTCCATGCTCTGGTCTTTGGGGGAAATCTGGGGGCAAAAGGAGCAAAGGGATTTTCTGAAGGTAGGTGTGGGGGGACGGGGGCAGTTGGCGTGGGGGCGGGGTGGAGTGTTCTCTGTCCCCTAGCTGCCAGTCTCAGGTCTGGGTGCTTCAGAAGCAGTATGACTCTGCATCCAGCAGATGGCGCACGGACGCTCCGACTGCTGGGACCCTATGGAACCCAGAGCGGGGCAGTTTCCTAGGCAACAGACAGCATTTCTGAAAGCCCTGTCCTTGGCAACCATTCCTTGGTTGCCCACGTCCATAGTAAAACTGGCTTCTGAAGGACAGGAGGGGCACAGGGGGTAAAGCAATCTCTCAGAAAGAGAGAGGCTGGCTGGGGTGCGGAGAGGAGAGGAAAAGATCTGTTTTCTGCTGCCATTTCTCTGTACCCGTGACCTGCTAAGTGCATCTTAGTCTCAGCAACCTGGGCTTGCCTAGATGTCCTCCAGTCTGTTCCAGTCTGCCTCACAGCAGAGTGGACTGTCCAAGTCTGGAGAGGGCAGCTGGTGGTGAGGTTTGCTGTGCAAACTAAGAACAGAGCAGAGGGTGAGGAAAGGGGTGATGAATCCAGCCCTTCCCAGCTCAGTTCAGTCTTTGCTGGCCCTGGGCAGGGGACCCCTCTGACCAGGGTCTCTGCTGTCTTTGGAGGGGCTTCCCTCTGTCAAAAGACCAAAGAGATGGAAGGAAGGGGACTGAGGCATTCCAAAGGTTATGTGACCTCTCCTGAACAGGAATGCTCTCCAAGAAGGACACAAGCCCAAGGCCTGTGAATATTCTGAGGAGAGGCAGGAGGTTCAGCCTCAGAAGAGGAGGAAACCAACTTCAAGTGGGTCAACGGACAGATTTGGAGCGTTCAAATTTAGTACAATGATCTAATGTACATTCCCTCAAGAGTTCGTGTCCCTGCTTTCACTGTATCTCACACTGAACATAACCAATACTGAACTTCTGACTCCCTGAATTATTAGTCTGGGGTCTCTAGAGAATTCATTTGTCTGTCTGTCTACATTTTTTTTTTTTTTTTTGCAGTACTGGGGTTTGAACTCAAGGCCTCGTGCCTGGTAGGCGGGCACTTTACCACTTGAGCCACTCCACCAGCCTTCTATCTGCCTATTTATCATTAATATTTCTAACTAGAGGGACAGAGACAGAGACAGAGGTATAAAGATAGACAGGACATGTGTTCCCTTGAGGAACTCGGCCCCTAGCAGAGGAGATCAA